CGACCGTGGTTCGCGTCCTGGACCTGGTGGCTTAAAACTCACGCCGGGTGCATGTGCATGCATGCCCAAGATCCCGAGAGGAGAATGGAGGAGAAGCGATTGCGGCATGGCCATCCCCCCCCGGGGGGGGATTTCTCGCTTTCTGTCTCTCTGTCTCTGTCTGTCTGGCGAGCGCATGCACCCTATAGTGAAAACCTCTCCAAAAAAAGAAAAAGAAAGAAAGTACTAACTTGTAAAGTCACTTAAACATAAGTAAATACTTACTCATATATTTAAAAAAAAAAAGAAAGCCAAAATACTGTCTTTAAATGATAATTATTACAAAGAAATATAACAGACCAAGAGATTATCTTTTAGGTATTACCATTGTTCACTGTCTGATATCAGCTGGCTTTGATTTGATCTTATTTAATAGCAGCTGTGGGCCCTTGAGAATTGATACAGATTTGTCATTTTTATTTTATTCCCATATTTCAACCAGACCCAGATAATCCAAACCTTAAAAAAATGTATCATGTGACAAACATGCTATTCTTGATCTCTTCTACATACTTGGTAGTAAGGTCCTTATTCAGAAAGAGAATGTTCTGTTCCTAGACTAACTTTTATGAAAATTAAGGTATGTCATTTCTGTTCACAAACATAGAGTTTTTGTTCTTGTAATGTTGCCTAATTATGCATCAGGAAAAAAATATAGCTGATTAAAAATAAAATACAAGCCACCTCAAAAATAAGTATTCTAGACAACATTATTTTATCTAGCCATCTGTCGCTTAATAACTTACCAATTTGAGACCAGCAAATGGCATAATGGTTGTGTTGCTGGACTCCCACGTAATCAACCACAGTTCAAGTCCCAGACTCAGTGGTATGAAACTCATGCCAGGCTTGTATGTGTGCATGCCCAAAATCTCAAGAGGACAATGGAGGAGAAGGTATTGTAGCATAGCCATCCAGCAGGAGGGTGATTTCTTGCTTTGTCTCTCTGTCTCTGTCTCTCTGATGAGTGCATATGGTCTATAACAAAAATCTTTCTAAAAATAAATAAATAAATAAAGATAACTTAACCTCTTTGACAAATAGCCTTCTTTGACTTGTTCCCTCAGTCAGTTAAAACTCACTAGAGGAAGCGTTCACAATCACACGGAACTAAATCTTTCATTTATCAATTTGTACTTTGCTGTACACCCATAATACTGTATTCAGAATAAATACAAATGATTACAGTGAATTTGTTTTATTGTTCTGTGGTGTCTTGTCACTTGCTGTAATTAATTGTCACTTTAAGTAACTAAGTGAAAGTGCCTGTACAGAAAAACAAACACAAATCTTCTTTTAACATACTTGTCTTATTTCATTTTTTAATAGTTTTTTGTTTTTGTTTTTGTTTTTTAATTCCAAGGCCTTAGGGTGTGTGCACTTGCCAGAGGGAGAGAGAGAGACAGAGTCGAGTCGATGAGAGGGAAAGTAAGAAATCACAGCAGGAGGGACAGCCAAATTGCAATCCCTTCTCCTCCATTCTCCTCCTGGGATCTTGGGCACGCATGTAGACTAGCGTGGTGTGATTTTTCAATTCATTGTGTCTAGGACTTAAAATGTGCTTGGCCATGGGGCCAAGTGATGCAACCAGTATGCCATTTGCAGGCCCCAATATTTGTCCCATTTCAGCTATTTGTAGGCATATATGGAGGTAGATTGGCATGCATAAATTCTATTTTTTGTGTGTGTATGATTACATTTGTTCCATCCTGCTTGGAGTTTCATGACTATTTGATAATATGTTTCTAACTGCAATTTAATAATTAATTAATTAAGTTTTTAAATTTTTTTGTCTTAAGGCATATGTGCTTAAGTGCTTGCCAGATAGAGACAGAGCCAGAAGAAGGGAAAGGAAGAAATTAACCCCAGGAGGTTGCCCATGCCACAATTCCATCTCTTCTATTCTCCTCTTGAGATTTTGGGCACTCATGCACATGCACTTGGTGTGAGTTTCAAGTTACCAAGTGTGGGGCTTAAACCGCCATTGGCCATGGGGAATCCAGTAACATAAGCACTCTGCCATCTGCTAGTTCCCATTGTATTAATCCTAAATCTGCTTCTATTTGGTACACCATGCTTCTCTTACATGCGCCCCTGTCCTCTTTTTGTCACTGATATGTTATTTTCATGTGGGGCTTCTTTCACTTATTTCTACTGAGGAGAAATGCACTCAACTTTTGATACAAATTTATCAATTACATACAGTTTATGACAAATTCAATGTCTATTTTTCCATTGTGATAAGCTGATTTCACTCCTGTCCTATCATTATAAGGAGAGTTGACAGGGACCACCAGGTGGCATAGTGGTTCAGGTACTGGTCTTCTGCAGCCAACTCCGGTTCAAGTCCCAGACCTAGTGGCTTGAAACTCATGCCACATGCATGTGCATGAGTGTCCAAAATCCTGAGGGAAGAATGATGGAGAAGGGATTGCAAAGTTGACATCCCCTTGGGGGATGATTTTTCGCTTTCTCTCTGTTTATCTCTGTGTCTCCATTGAGTACATGCACCTATAGTAAAAAGCTCTCAAGAAAAAAAAAAAAAAAGTTTGCTATTACATTTCTCAAGTATCCCAATCACTGAAAACAGCTAAAAACCTGAAATAATACATCAGACATATCAATCACTTAGCAAAATAAAGAACTATCTTACATTCATTTCACAGTACAATTTTGCATCTAGTATTTCAGAAACAGTAGTTCTTACATCTAAGAGTCTCACTATTCAAATGGACATCTTTCTAGTCTCTTATTGGATTGGTATTCAATCAACTGAGCATTGAAGACAGAGAATAAGGAAGAAAATCCACTCCAAAGAGTATCAGCACATAATAGACAGCATTTCTACACATGACATTGCATAAATGAATTGCTTTGTCCAAAATAAATATGAGAACAGCAGAGTTTTTGTATATTTTTTGTTATACTATGTATCAAAGAAACAGAAATGTTATTGAAGAACATTAAGCCAGCCTCCATCATAGCTCTCATTTTTGTTCACTAATTGTCCCGTTACAATTTCTGTCAAATATAGAAGATACTTTTACAATTTAGTTTCTGAAAATCTGTGATCTTTAACAATGCCTTATTTCTCTACATTAGACCTAGAGAAATAACAACTGAAATAATACATAATTAATTAATTATTATGAACTAATAAGAAATAAATTATTTATTTATTTATTTTAAGAGAGAGAAAGAAAGAGAAAAAGGGATAGAGACCATTATGACACCTCCAATAGGGTATGGATGCTGAGGCAAACCACCTTCTGCCTCAGCCAGTCCTGGATCTTGGGCATGTGAATGCCCAGCATATGTAGGAATGTTTCCAGACACAAATCCAGAGACTTTCTACGTGGATCAGCTTTGTTGAGGGTCACATTTTGTAGCTGTGCCACCACTCAGCCCCCTTACCCTCTCTCTTGAACTCATGTGAAGGATAATTCAATGATCAGTACCTCTTTCACTCTGACTAGGTTTTGCACCTCATTAACTGGGAAGCAAGCTTGAAAATTTATTGGAATTTATTTACATATCAAAGAACCAAAGCCTTTTAAGCCTTCACCTTATAATATGTTTGGATTCAACATTTTCTGATAAACATAAAAAACTTTAATTCTGATTATTTCACAACAGGAATATGGGCATGTCCATAGGCCAATTCTGGTTCAAGTCCTGGACAAGGAGGCTTGAAATTCATGATGGGTGCATGTCCGTATGTGCACAAAATCTCATGAGAAGAATGAAGAAGGGACTGTGGTGTGACCCTAGCCTCATGTCATGATTTCTTGCTTTCTGTTTCTTTGTCTCTCTTAGACTATCTGGCAATTACAAGTGCCTGATAGCAAAAATCTCTAAAAAAAAAAAGTCATGACAGCAAATGTATCTCACTAGTGGGTTATTAGACAAGATATGCCTGACACATGAGACAGATGGGGTCTCCTTCTGGTTTTCAGTTATCTGTATTATTTATTTATAAGATAATGTGTGTTGTATGATGTTCAAAGTAGCCAAAAGTATTTTATAAATATCAATTTATTTAATCAGGTAGAGTGACTCCATTAACTCATTAGAGGTTATTTTTTTTATTATCATCATAATCTTCTTTATATTACCTTGGATTACATATAACTTTACAGTGTATTACATTGCTTTTTCAAATGGAAATGCCATAGGGAACCAGCAGTTAGCGTAATGGCTATGTCGCTGGCCTGGACTCCCAGCGACCACGGTTCGCGTCCTGGACCCAGTGGCTTAAAACATGCCATGCGCATGTGCGTGCGTGCCCAAGATCCTGAGAAGAGAATAGAGGAGAAGGGATTGCGGCGTGACCATCCCCCCGGGGGGTGATTTCTCGCTTTCTGTCTTCATAGCTCTCTCTGTCTGTCTGGAGAGTACACGCGCCCTATAGTGAAAAACCTCTCCAAAAAAAATAAATAAAAGGGAATGCCATTCATGTCAGTCAATACAGAGACATTAATCTCCCCGCTTCAATATTCAATATCTTTTCTATGTTTTCCCCAATCATTATTATTCTTATGCTAATTATTTTTTTAAAACAGTCAATCGCTATTTCTCATTTTGCTTGTAAAAAGACTTTGCCCATCATGAAATACTTCTCATACCAATCCAGTTGAGAATACTATACATGTCATCATCAACAGTTAATAAGCCATATCTGTTTCTCACTAACGTCCTGCCTCTCTATTGTTCTCTTGCTATCTTTCTCTATCCTCTTCTCTTCACCTCCCCCCATTCCACACTGTTATTTTAAATTGCAATGTGTTTTCAATTTAGAATCTCTAGCCCCTACACAATGTGTCACTTCTTGGCATGGAGAATTGCTTTTGGGGCCATTTATACCTCTGTCTTCTCTGCCCCTGACAACATCCCATAAAGCTGGGACTGTAGTTCTTTCTTTGTACAGGCCAGTAGCAACTGTTAATAGAATTTAGAAATATAAAAAGGGCTTCTGTCATGAGTGGCACATGCCAGGAGGCTCATTCACTCTGTGTGCAGAATCGACATGAAGAGTTTTCGGAAGCATAATTTTTTGGTAATCGGGCAGCTGGTGATCGTTGGTCCCGGCGCCCTGATCTTGTTTTAACAGGAGATGACAAGTTTTAAGTATGATCAGGGGTCATGCGGTCTGGTGGCTGTTAGAAAAGAAGTATGTGGAGGGACCAGCAGTTAGCGTAATGGCTATGTTGCTGGACTCCCATGTAGTCGACCACAGTTCATGTCCCGGACCCAGTGGCTTAAAACTCACGCCGGGTGTATGTGCGTGTGTGCCCAAGATCCCGAGAGGAGAATGGAGGAGAAGGGATTGCAGCATGGCCATCCCCCTTTGGGGGGGATTTCTCGCATTCTATCTCTCTGTCTCTCTCTGTCTGGCGAGTGCATGCGCCCTATAGCAAAAACCTCTCCAAAAAAAAAAAAGAATTTAGAAATATAATATTTTTGTAAATAATTATTTTGGATTTAATTTAATCACACTGTAAGATTACATCATTCTCACAATGAAGAGGGATACAAGATGTCCTGACAGAACTTGTAAAACCACATAGGATTTAAGTAAATACCTACTCAAATATAAGAAACAAAAAAAGTCAAAAAGAAAATATAGTCTTTAAGTGCTAGTTATTACAAAAAAAAGACAAAATGTTTCTCTTTTTATATATTATTGTTTTTCACTATATGTCTGATGTCAGTTGGACATGACTTTATCCTATTTATTATGAGATTGTTATCATTAATATTAAATTATATATAATTAGAATATATATAATAATATATAACTAATTCTTTTCAGTTTCCTCTATAATAAAAAGTAGAAATCCAAATTTTAAGGCTTTTATTTGAATAAAAATGTTGAGTTTGAAAACTTCTAACTAGATTGACTGTCACATATTGATTTTCAGAGTTTTACACTTTCATAACATAAACAAAGAATATAAATATAATAATCATACATATAAACCATCATATTTACTCTGCTCAATTTAGTGATAGCCGTATTTTTCCTCCATGGAACAGATTAAATACAGATGGTAATATATGTAATTGTATCTAATCTGATATAATATCATATAATACAATATAGCAAAATATTGATTTGTATATTCCTTTATATTATGTTAGAGAGAGATTTTGGACTTAATCAGAAATTTATTTCATTCTCATGACAGAAACAATCTTTATTAGAATATATGTAAATTCAAAACATCAGGTTCTCTTTTTAAAATATCCTTTATCTACTAACTATTACTTCCTGGTATATTACCTCACTATTTACCTTTATGTCTCTGTTTACTGTTCATTCAATTTGTTTCTTCCAGACACTGGGCAATGATGTCCTTTCCAACACCCAGTGAAATTTAGATTTCCACTCCCCCATGCTCCCGGATCTTGGTATGAGCAAGACTTTTCTCAAAAATGAATACTTCTAAAAAAAAAAAAAATGAATACTTCTTGGGTTAGCTAGTATATGGTGGATAGAGTGACTGGATCCCATGTGGTGAACTGTGTGGTTCAAGTTCTGAACAATTTGGCACAAAAAACACACCATGCATGTGTGCATACATGCCAAGAATCCCAAGAGGAGAATGGACGAGAAGTGACTGCAGTAATGCCATTCACCCAAGGGTCATGATTTCTCACTTTCTCTCTCACTTCTCTCTCTTTTCTTTCTTCTCACAGCACACAAGTCATATTGCAAACTTAAAAAAAAAAAAGAAAAGAAATGAACATTTCTCAATTTTCCACCATTACCTGAGAAATTTCAATGCAAAATTATGCATTTCAGGGGCCAGCAGGTGATGTGGTGGATAGGGACACTGGACTCCCAGATAGCCAACTACAATTTGAGTCCTGGACCTGTCAGCTTTCTTTCTTCAATTTTCCACCATTACCTGAGAAATTTCAATGCAAAATTATGCATTTCAGGGGCCAGCAGGTGATGTGGTGGATAGGGACACTGGACTCCCAGATAGCCAACTACAATTTGAGTCCTGGACCTGTCAGCTTTCTTTCTCATGTTCTCTCTGTCCCTCTTTGCTCAAAAAGTAAGTATATAAATAAAGTTAGTTAAATAAAATACTTCTTTAAACATTTATGCATTTCAGTTCCTTTCTTAACTCTGCTTTGCTGAGTTTGTTTTCTTGATTCTTCTATCTGATTCTTGGGACATAAAAACAGCCTTCTTTTACCTTTACAGCTGCCTGCTTAATTCATCATAATTTTATTTCTTTTTTTAAAACTAATTATTTTATTTAACTTTATTTATTTAAATTGACCAGAGAAGGACAGAGTAAGAGAGAGAGAGAGAAAGAGAGATAAAGAGAGGGAAATTGAAAAAGCAAGTCACCAGGTTAGGATTCTAATCATGGTCAACCATGTGGAAGTCCAGTGCCCTTAACCATCACACCACCTACTGGCCCCTCTTTGTTTAACCCTATCCTGGTGGAGAATTAATTATCTTTCTCAAAGGCAACTTATGTACTATTTCAAAATACATATCCAGTCTGTTATAAATGTATGTATTTAAAATTGAAATAGAGGGAAAAAAATTAAAAAAACCGTACAGTGCCTCCTTCATTCCCATCATGCTTCCCTGATCTATAATTATTTGATAGATATCTGAGTTTTTGACTCTCTCTAATATCACAATCTAATTTGAAACAAAATCTTATTTGATTTATGTGTTATTTTTTGTCCTATTTCTTTCAAAGACTAAACTTTTTATTTGTTTTTACTTTTTCTTAAGATACAAGTTATTCTTGAGAATTCTTAAATTGTCATTGTCAGCAGGTATATAAATAAATACTTACAGCAAGATTTTAGGACTGAAAAAAGGCAAATACCCAATTTACATGTTTTTACTTACAAAATATAGTCTTGATTTCTGAAAATCATGTACATGCTTTATCTTTTTATTTATCAAACACTGAAAAAATTATATATGTAATTAGTTATCTAAATTTTTATTATTCTTGTTATATGTTGGATTCTATTAAGAAAACTCTCATTAATTCAATAATTGTCAACTTTTTTTGTTGTTGTTGTTCTATAGGTTGTTTAATTTATTATCATTCAATATTCACTGCATGTCATTATTTTATTCTTAGCAATTTTTATAATCTCAAATTATTTTTAGATTGCGTCCTATGTGCCTTTTAGTTTTTTTTTTAAAGAATAAAACTAAATTTTGTAACTTATGAATCCTTTTAGATCATAAAAAATCTTTTTTTCTTTCAGTACTCAAAAATAATTTGGCTAAGGCAGATATTTACCTACTTCATTCCAAATATACTTTGAGAAATTTAATATTAATAAAAAAGGAAAAAATGTAAACATTGTCATTGTTATGTGGTTTTACATTTTCAGAATAAAAATCCATTATTTCTTCTGATCTACATATTATATATTTTTTTAGAGGTTTTTGCTATAGGGAGCATGTGCTCGCCACAAAGACAGAGAGAGACAGAGAGACAGAAAGCGAGAAATCACTCCCCAGGGGGGATGACCATGCCACAATCCCTTCTCCTCCATTTTCCTTTCGGGATCTTGGGCACGTGCGCCCCCGCCCCTGGCATGAGTTTAAGCCACCGGGTCCAAGACTCAAACCGTGGTTGACTACATGGGAGTCCAGCGACATAGCCATTTCACTAACAGTGGATCTCGTACATATTATATTATCAATGAGATAAATAGAAAGAAAAATGTAAAAAAATAAAAGTTAAATAATGTGTGTGCCTGTTGGTGGTATAGTGGTTTAGTGGCTTACTGTGTGGTTGTAGTCCTGGACATGGACTAGAAACACACCAGTTGTGTGCCCAAAATCCTGATAGGAGAATGGAGGAAAAGAAATTACGGTATGGCAATCCCACTCTGAGCAGCGTTTTTTCTTTTTTTCCAGAGAGTTGTTTTTTTGTTTTGTTTTGTTTCTTTGTGGGTTTTTTTGTTTTTGTTTTGTTTTGTTTTTTTTTTTTTTTTTGGTGTGTGTGTGTATGGGTGTGTGCTCAGCAGAGAGAGAGAGCAGACAGAAAGTGAGAAATCACTCTCAGGGGGGATGGTTTCTCCTTCATTCTCCTCTCGGCATTTTGGACACAAATGCTTCAGGCATGAGATTTAAGCCACTGGGTCTGGGACTCGAACTATCGTTGATTACGTGGGAGTCTAGCAATGCAGCAATTATGCCATCTGCTGATTTTGAGGCGGCTCACCAGAGAGAGAGAGCAGACAGAAAGTGAGAAATCACTCTCAGGGGGGATGGTTTCTCCTTCATTCTCCTCTCGGCATTTTGGACACAAATGCTTCAGGCATGAGATTTAAGCCACTGGGTCTGGGACTCGAACTATCGTTGATTACGTGGGAGTCTAGCAATGCAGCAATTATGCCATCTGCTGATTTTGAGGCGGTGCTTTCTCTTTCTCTCTGCCTGTTTCTCTATGTCTCTGTCTTTCATGCTCATAGCAAATTAAAAAGAAAATAAGTGAAATAGAATCTTGCCAATATGAGAAAGCCAATATTCTCTTTTAATCCAAATCCTTACAGACACTGCTAGTATGAGTACTACCTGATACCAACATGCACATGTAAAATGTTATATGAAGTTATAATTCTATCTTTCATGGTTTCATGAACATAGTGTTATATTTGATAAGTACATTTATACTGTTTCATACATGTTAAGGAAGTAGAAATTTCTTAGAACTGCTCTTGAACATTGTCTTAAGTGCTTATAAGATATTATGTGGTATAGATGTGCTCCAATGTCTTAATGCTATATTCTTCTCTTTGGTAACAATTTTATTTTACAATACAAGAGAAAACCAAAAATATTATAAACGTACTTTAACAAACACATGTCCATAATGTGTAAATATTATTCCTTCAAATGAGATTTTGTTGATGAAGTTAATAAAGTAAATTAATAAGTATTTTTATTTTTATTTAATTAGAGCCCAAAATGGATGCAATATTTGAATCAGTATTTTTATTTTTCTTTAATTACAGCCCAAAATGGATGCAATATTTGAAGGGGAGAGGGAATGGTATGATAGCTGGATTCTATCAATGTACAGAATTCATCTAGAGAAGCTAATGAGAGGAATATTTTTGTGTTGCACTCTGTTTATATATTTACCTTAAATTTTCATAAATTGGATGGCTTAAAGCAACAGAAAATTAGTATCTGACAGTTCTCAAGTCCAATATCCACAATCATGGTGTTGACTGTGCGTCAGACCATCAGAAGGCTTTAAGAAAAATATCCTTCCTGGCCACTTGTAGGTTTTGGTGGCTCTTGGACTTTCTTGGTTTGAGGCAGAATCATTGCAATCCCCTTTTCCACCTTTATGTGACATTCCCTTCTGTTTCTCTGAATGTTTTCTAAACTTATTCATCTCTCTGTTTTTTTCAAAGATACTTATCATTGGATTTAGTCCCACCCTAAACCAGTGATCTCATTTCATAATCTTTATGTTAATTACATCTACAAATCACTTTTGTCTAAGAAGGATATATTTGAAGATATCAAATAGAGATATATTTTGAGGATACAACATTCAACACACTGCACAAGAGAAGGAATAGTTAACATGAGAATTTTAGAAGCTTCAAGTACTAAATTGATATCACCAGCAATAGACAGAGGGAATCTGGTTACCAGAGAACTTTAAGATAGGCACAATAGGGGGTCGGCAGCTGGTATGGTGCTTGAAGTGCTAGATTTCCACATGGTCAACAACAGTTTGAATCCCAGACCTGGAGACTTGCTTTCTCATTTCCTACTTTTTCTCCCTGGTCAAAATTTAAATGATATAATAAATAAGCAATAGGAAATAAATAAATTTTTGAAAAAATAAAATATCTGCACAATAGAGTAGTGTACATCCTTTGAATTTGTAGTCTTTCAAAGAACATGCACAGAGACAAGAGATAGAAGCAGAGGAAAATGTAAAGAAACCCTGCTTCCATTACCTTTTCAGTTTGTGGAGTGTTTCACTGATTAAATGCAATCATAGGATCAGAGACCGACAGAAAAATGCATCTGAAGGAACGTGGAAGTAAAGAAAAATTAACAGAGTATGATCCTAATCCCTACTTACACAACACACACAGGTAAGCTGTATTCTATTGCTCAAGTAGTCTCAACACAATACTTAACCAAGAAAGAAAGACTCATCTTCAAAATGAAATGCACTGGAGTCTATCTGTCCTCTGGTTACACAGGGACCCTTAAATAAACTCTGTGAAAGAAAGGTCTCCTTACAAAATGTGGGGCATCATTGTGATTTTATTACCATTATTTAGGAATGTAGGACCAAAGCTAACAATGTGTTTCGATTCTAGTCACATACAAACCTATAAACAGATTATTTCTATAAATCAAGGATTTACCTCATGCTAATAACTTGGGTAGTACTTTTCTCAGTGCCGTCATGATATCTTTGTTCCTCAGTGTATATATGATGGGATTCAAAGCAGGGATTAAAGCAGTGTAGAAAATAGAGATTAGCTTCCCCATTCCCTCAGACTGATCTGGTTTGGGTTGTAAATAAGTAATGGTAGCTGTGCCATAAAATAACACTACAACTGTCAAGTGAGAAGAGCAGGTAGAAAAGGCTTTAGACCTTCCTCTGGCAGATGACAACTTCATAATGCTGGAGATAATTTTGCCATAGGAGACAACAATCAACAGAAATGGAACCATGATAAACACCACTGTATCTGCAACTACAAAAACAGCTATCTCATTCAGAAATGTGTCCCCACAAGCAAGCTGGAGTATTGGTGGAACATCACAGAAGAAGTGATTGATTGTGTGAGATGCACAAAAGGGCAAAGAGAAAACCTTCCATGTTTGCCCAATTGCAACTGGAATTGCAGTGATCCAGGAGGCAGCCACCAGCTGCATGCAGAACTTGTGGTTCATCACTAGAGAATAATGGAGAGGGTTGCAAATGGCCACATAACGGTCATAAGCCATCACTGTCAGGAGGAGACACTCTGTGCCCCCAAGCATAAAGAAGAACCCCATTTGTGTAGCACAGGCAAGGAAGGAGATATGACCTTTCTGAGTCCAAAGGTCCATGAGCATTCTCGGGATAGTTACTGTTACATAACAGATTTCCAAACAGGAAAAAATGCCAAGGAAAAAATACATGGGTGTCTGGAGAGCAGGGTCGGTTTTTGTAATTAATATTATGAAGCTATTGCACATCAGGATAGTCAAATATATGAGTAAAAATACACCAAACAGAGTCCTTTGGAGACTGGGAGTATCAGAAAATCCCAAGAGAACAAATTCCACCATAGCAGTGCTATTCAAATTTTCTGCTTTAATTTGTTCTTTATCTGCAGATATGGTAAATTTAAATGATTAATTCATTCACAAATCAAATAACCATTTCTCTTTAAATCAACTGGAATAGATGTATGAAAATACATTTATATTTTCTCAAATTATTTCTACCATTTCTAGAAAATGAGATTAGAAACTTCAGAAAGGAATTTGTATTGGAGATGAACTAATTTAGGAAGCATAATTCAAATGTATTTTATAGATTTGGATGTAATGATATCAGAGGTACTGGGAAGTATGAATTTTTTAGAGAACATTGTGGAGAAATAGTATTGTACTAGTGCATCATAAGAGTGGCATTACAATACAGGATCTTTGTATTGTTTTGTCTGGGTTTATTTTCTTTGTATTGGTAGTCATTTTCCATATTATTTCAATTAAAAGACTTTTTTTAAGAATTATTTTTAAATTTAATTTTATTTATTCATTCATTTATTTTAATTTGACTAGAGAACTAGAGAGAGAGAGACACGAGAGAGAGAGGAAAGTGAGAAAGCAAGCCGCCAGGTTCGGGATTTGAACTGTGGTCAGCCATGTGGGAGTGTCCAGCACCTCAACAACCATGCCACCTGCTGGTCCCTAAAAGACTTTTTATTTTTTTTCCTAAAAGACTTTTTTATTGATGTTTTTATTTCTTATTCAAAGTGAGTTTTAAGTTATCTCTTTTATCCTCAAATGCAAATCACTTTTCTTAAACTGAGAAAAAATTATATGCATTATTATTGCTCTAATTGATGTATGTCTTCCATTACTTATAGTAAATATGAAAACAATCCCAGCATGTTATCAGCTTCACTCACTTTATAGTCTATGACAAATATGAATTAACTTTTAGCTTAATCAAAAATATTACCAATATATTTTTTGAGAGATTGTTGCAATAGAGTGTGTGCACTTGCTGGACAGAGAGACAGAGGGACAGAAAGTGAGAAATCACCCCCAGGGAGGATGGCCACACTATAATCCTTCTCTATTCTCCTCTAGGGATTTTGAGTGTACACACATGTTCCTGGCATGAATTTTAAGTCACTGGGTCTGGTACTTGAACCATGGTCAACTATATGGGAGTCCGGCAACATGGCCATTATGCTTAATCTGCTGGTCCACCTATACATTTTAATACTTGTAATATAGTTCTCCTTATCTAGTTGAGATTCTTATTGTCATGTAATTTCCTTATAATCAAATGCAACTCTTTTTCTTTATTTCCCTTCATAATGTTGCCTTATACTTGGACAACTTTGATTAAATCTAACTATTACTTATTTTGGTCACACAAGTGGCCAAACATATGCATGACAATAAAAACTGCAACAAAACAAAATAGAATAAAAAACACCCTATCTTGCTGCATTTCATATGAATATCATCTAGTATGAAGTCAGTAAATCAGTATTATTTGACAATTTCCTTTTCAGTATCTCACTGTTTCCCCAGTTCCCAAGTTTTCTTTTTTTTGGGTGGTGGCAGGTGGGGTGGGTGGGAGATTTTTGCTATAGGGTCTGTGGACTCACCGGGGAGAAAGAAAGAGACAGTCAGAAAGTGAGAAATCACCCTTCAGGATGATGGCTATGCCACAATCTCTTCTCCTCCATTCTCCTCTGGGGATCTTGGGCAAACATGCACATGTGCCTGGTGTGAAGTTTAAGCCACCAGGTCCAGGACTCGCACTGTGGTCGACTGTGGGAGTCCAGCAACATAGCCACTACACCATCTGCTGGTCCCTCACAAGTTTTCAAAACAAATATTTAGCTATTGGATTATTGGAAATGGCATGACATATTTTTTCTACATTTTTCTATGCAAATATGCATCGTGCCTTTCCTGATGATCCAATATTTCCTTATCTCCCCAAATCTACCTGCACATCTTCTAGTCCATCAGCTGATGCTTTTGAATTACTACACTGATAAATAAAAATGATCAGACCAATATTCTCTAATATTTATATACTTCCATGAATAGTAGTTATCAAAGTTACTTTAATGAATTATATTTATTTATTATTAACATCATTATTATTATTTGACATAGATCTAATTTTATCCAACTTTATAATGAAGTTAAGATGTAAATGACTTATATAAAGTCACTCAACTTAAGATATAAGTTTTTAGGATTTCATGTAATTATTTGAATCTTGATTCTCAAATTTAGAAATATCTTCAACATAGTCTAAAATACAATTACAACTTACCTGTATGGATTTTCATGAGTAGTTTATAACAGGGTAAGTGATTTTTACACTATGAACTTCTGGTCACTTCTTTTTCTCAGAAAATCACTAATTCAATATTTTATGCTTGCTTCAAGTACCAACTGCTCTTAATATAGGAATAGTCACTCTCACCCTGGGGGAGATACTCTCTCATGTATTAATTTAATTTCTATAACTCCTTCTCCTGGGCAATCATTCTGGTCAATTTTCAAAACTTCATTTGTTTGGATAGACTCATCCACTTCTGTAGTTGCTCATTGACACAGAGTTCCCACTGTGGGGAGTCTCTTGTCAGTTAAAAAAAAAAAAAATCACTTAATTGTGTAGAATTACTTTCAGGAAAAGCTGAAGTCTTTCTGGCTATTAACTTAGGGCCGTTGAGAATTGATGCAAATTTGCCATTCTTTTTTTTTTTTTTTTTTTGAGAGAGATTTTCACTGTAGGGCGCGTGCGCTCGCCAGACAGACAGAGAGAGACACAGAGACAGAAAGCAAGAAATCACCCCCCGGGGGGATGGTCACGCCGCAATCCCTTCTCCTCCATTCTCCTCTCGGGATCTTGGGCACGCACGCACACGCGCCCGGCGTGAGTTTTAAGCCACCGGGTCCGGGACGCGAACCGCGGTCGACTACATGGGAGTCCAGCGACATAGCCATTATGCTAACTGCTGGTTCCCGCCATTCTTATTTTTACTCCCACAATTCAAATACAGAGAATACATACCTTAAAAAAAAGAAAATCTCTGCTCTCTGCAGACTTGGTAGTGAGATCCCTATTCAGAAGTGGAATACTCTGTTCCGAGGTTAACTTTTATGAAAATTGATGTATGTCATTATTGCTAGATTATTTTATGGTGCCTCAAATATCTAGCTGATTGAAAATGAAATACAAGTCACCTCAAAAAATAATATTTTAAACAACATTATTTAATATAGTCACTCCTCACTTAATGAGCAACATTTTTAACAACTACTCAGATCTCTTTGTCTTGGTTAGTACTCATTACATGAAGTGTTCACCATCACATACAACTACAAATTCCATTTATATATTTTTTAAAATTCTTTTTATTTAATTTTACTTATTCATTAGTTTATTTTAATTTGACCAGAGAGAGATACACACAGAGAAAGAGAGAGAGAAAGTGAGAAAGGTGAGAAAGCAACCCACCAGGTTCAGGACTTGAACTGTGGTTGGCCATGTGGTAGTGTCCAGCACTTTAACCACCCATGCCACCTGCTAGTTCCCATTTATAAATTTTGTATTTTATTTTGCACCAGGTGGATGTGTGTGCATGCCTAAAATCCCAGAAGGAGAGTGGAGAAGAGATTGTAGTATGATCATTTCCCCTGGGAGGTGATTTCTCACTTTCTGTTTCTGTCTCTGTCTCTTTGGCAAGCACATGCACCCAAAAGCAATAAAATCTCTCTCTCTTAAAAAAATGAGGTGATACAGAACATTCACATTATTCAAAAACATTTCCTGTGCTACTTCATGATATATTATTTCCCTACTTTATTCTCAGAATATCAACAATAGCTAGAGATCATTCATAATCAATCAGAGAGTACTTTTTGATGTGTTAATTTTGCCTCAGTATGAGTACTTAAGATTCTTCTACATCAATAGCTGATTTATCATCATTACTGTATAAAATTCTTATGAATGAACATGCCAACATTTATTCACTCATCTAGTCTTGCACTTTTTATTGTTTCTAGGTATTGATTATAAACAAAGCTTCTTTATATACTCACAAGCAAATTTAAGATTTCACATATCTTTTGATTTATTTTGAATAAATATTTACAAGGGAAGTAGTTGGGTCACACTTTAATTATATGTTTAAATATTTAGGAAACTCAAAATGTTTATCAAATTGCTAGAGGGTCCCCCAGTTCTCCCCACTTTTCCTTTTGTCCTGTTCAAGAAGCACAAAGTGACCCAGTCAGTGGGGTTTCTTACAGGGGCCTGAGCCCTAGCCAGGACCAGGGACATTCCCAGGCACTGTGCAAAGTATTTAGGTTGCTCCCAAAAACACTGAAAAAAACTTGCTTTGGACCTAAGCTGAAGTCCTTAAACTATCATTTAGGCTTCAAACCCTGATCCTCTCCTGCAAACACACCTAGGTAAAACTTCTTTCTCTCACTGTTCATCATGAGGACATACTGCAACCCACTCTGTAGGAAAGTTTCCTTCACGTGGGACTGGCAGGTGGCATTGTGGTTAAGGGTGCTAGACTACCACATGGCCAACTGTAGTTTGAGTCTTGGACCTGACAGCTTGCTTTCTCACTTTCTCTCTCTCTCTCATGTCAAATTAAAATTAATTAATTAATTAATTTAATTTAATAAGATGATTCTAAAAAGAAAGTAAAAAGAAAAAAAGCTTCCTTGATAAATGTTTAGACTAATGCCCTGGTATTCAGTGCTATTTTCTTTGGAATCTCAATGTGTCATATCTCAGACTCATTTGGGACACTCTCAACTGGTAGATTCCCTGGATAAAGTCACTGTTTTGCATTATTCCTGCCATGGGTCTTGTAGGTCAAAACAAGTAGTTTCAGCAGGGCACTTCAAAAAGTTTGTGGAACAAAATGAACTTAAAATATGAATTTACTTTGGTTCAAGCAATTTTAAAAATCCATGCATAATGTTTTCATAACATATGTTTTCCACGAACTTTTAAAAGACACCAACATCTCCACCAGCAGCATGTGAGATTAACATTTCTGTATCTTTGGGAACCAGCAGTTGGCCTAATGGCTATGTCGCTGGACTCCCACGTAGTC